GAAATGCTATATCTACGCGTGTGACGACAAGTCCGTTGCTCCATTGAGTAGTGTCTACATTAGTGGTGGAAGTGGGTAAATTAAAAAGTCTGGTATTTTTCAGAGAGTAAGTATGCGTTGAAACTACGTTGTAATTGTTATTGACAAAAGTTTAATGCAGGAAAGACGTATTTTACGTAAGTAACGAATTCTCGAATAAATAATTTGATATTTCAAGAAATGAATGTTATAAAAAATCCTAAGAATTAAATAATATGAACCGTTCAGAATAAAAGACAAATCTTAGCGAAGAACGAAAAGCGAAGAAACATAAACTTGTGAACAGTCGTATGCAACACGAGAAACGATGTTGTTATCATAATCACGGATAGAAAAATCAAAATGCAACAGTATGAAGAGTGTCTTTCTGTGCAATGGGGTGTCAGAAGAAGAACACATGAAGAGTGTCTTTCTGTGCATGAAGAGTGTCTTTGGGTTCAAGTTCCACTTTTGTATACTCTTCGGTATGTTATGCCTCTAATTCCTGACAGTTTTTAATAATATATTTACATAAAATGAATTCAATCAGCATTCTTATAAAAAATATATGAAACTACAACTCACATCTTCAGGTGGGATTTTTATAGCCATTTATCTATCTATAAAATATAAACGTTATTATACCAGATGTTCAAGGGGAAAAAAGACAGTACATGAAGGAAACGAACAGTAAAATCTGTTATTAATCAGACTAATTGAAATTAGAAACAATAAACAAAACTGAAAACTTAGGTAAATAAAAAATTCACCTGTGGAACAACGTGCACAATGATGATGAAAGGACATTTGAAATGCATTAAAAATGTGTCACATTTAATGCATTGTTTTCCCGCTCATAAGTGGCAGCACATGAAAATGTCTATTTCTTTTTATTTGCTTAATTCGGTCATCCGAATACTACGAGCAAATACTCCAGTGAAAAATCCAAAACGCATCGCTTAGAGTAAATGTCAATTTTTGGCAGTTTGACCATGGTTTTTCATGAAAGTATTGATTTGGATGTGCGTCCGTGTGTCCGTCGATTTTTTCGACCCCCCACAAATCCCGATATGCATATACCTAAGTTGTAGCTTGTGTCGGGGCACATCGGAAAATGTCTCGAATATTTTTTTAAAGAGAAAATAAAAGGCAACACAATGAAATCATATATTATTCCTTCGATTTTATTTCTAATTGTATAAATAAACTATACTAAATTTATCATTACATCATTTCCACTTGTTTATTTCATAAGTTTTCTTGGATTCACTTAAAGCCATATTCAATTGCATTCAATAAAAACGGAATAATCATTTAAATTTTCTTCATCTTCTTCTTTTTGGTTTATTTCGATGGAATGAACAAAGCTGGTAAATTGTGCGCGTCTTCGTGTCGAGAAGATACAGCATTTTGTAACAAAAAGCAAAAAAATTGCTTTAAAAAAAAACTTGTATATTCCACGTAGAGTGTAAAATGGTTGTGACATTGAATGAGTTGGCGTTCGGTTTCATTTTTTTTATACAGATGTTGAATGCACTGCATTCAATTTTTCTTCGTCTCCTGAAAATATCAAAATAAATATCTTGAAATATGAGTAAAACAGGAGATGTATAAATTCATGCATAAATCTATGTACAGAGTTTTTCACAATTCACAGTCAACCTACCTCCAGATATTTAAGCAATTTCTGAAGCGATTCTTCATCGTTGCCATGAATATTCGTATTGCCCCAGACGATGACTCCGTTCATGCCTCTGTTAACGATTATGGTAGGCGAGCCCAAAAACCAAGCGAATATAGCCACCACTAAAATAGCCACAATCGGGACTGCAATGGAAATGAAGAAAACAACATGTATTCATTTGATTTTGTTAATTAAAACTTTACATTGTCTATGGCTCTAGCTATATTTGAAGCTATTTACAATTGTCTTCTTTTATCGAGAGTTTATCACTTTTAGTTAGTCAATAGCCAATCAATCAAAACGTCCAAAATTGATTATTCATAGTCATGGTTAGTTGCAACATTATGACACGAAATATAAAAGGTAGACTAAAACTTAACTTACCTATGACAACTGTTGAAAATATGTTGCTGTTTCGTTCGGAAGAAACGGAAGCAGTGTGATCCCGGCGTATAGGAGCAAACGATCGCTGAATATTTCCATTCTGGGAAGAATCATCATCGGTCAGTAACGAATTATTGAATAAATAATTTGATATTTCAAAAAATGAATGTTATAAAAAATTCTAAGAATTAAATAATATGAACCGTTCAGAATGAGAGGCGAAAAGAACGAAAAGCGAAGAAACATAAACTTGTAAAAATTCGTATGCAAAACGAGAAACGATGTTGTTATCATGATCACGGACAGAAAAATCAAAATGCTACAGTATGAAGAGTGTCTTTCTGTGCAATGCATTCAAGTGCCACTTTTGCGTACTCTTCGGTATCTTAGCCTCTTATTCCTGACAGTTGATATATTTACATAAAATGAATATATGAAACTACAACTCACATCTTCAGGTGGGATTTTTATAGCCATTTTCAAATCTCTGAAATTGTCGTCAAAAAGAAACCTTAACCCAGATATTTAGTAAAAAGAGACAACACATGACACACACGAACGAAACGAAAAGCCAAATGTATCAATTCAACTCACATCTATTTTTTCTCCGTCAGTCATTTTTCCACGTCTAACTGAAAAACAGATCAAGATTAATTGATTAGTCAGTCAATCAGAATATTTTCACACGGGATGACTATTTAATTTTGAAGAGACGCAAACAAACAACTGTATTCAAGTTATTATGAGTTTTCATAAATATTCCTAGAGAGTTAAACGTTACCGTCTTAATTTGTTCTTGTACACTTTTTTCGGTCAAACTGAATTAACTTTATTTGGCCTTAAATTGGCGATGAAACAATGATATGTAAACGGAAAATTATGATGTGAAACTCATAAACAATGTAACTGCATGGAAATTTTTTGATATGTGAATGCAATTGTCAATGACAATTTGTCATATTTAATGCATTGTTTTCCCGCTCATAAGTGGCAGCACATGAAAATGTCTCGAATATTTTTATGAAAAAAAATAAAAGGCAACACAATGAAATCATATATTATTCCTTCGATTTTATTTCTAATTGTATAAATAAACTATACTAAATTTATCATTACATTATTTCCACTTGTTTATTTCATTAGTTTTCTTGGATTCACTTAAAGCCATATTCAATTGTATTCAATAAAAACGGAATTATCATTTAAATTTTCTTCATCTTCTTCTTTTTGGTTTATTTCAATGGAATAAACAAAACTGGTAAATTGTGCACGTCTTCGTGTCGAGACGATACAGCATTTTGTAACAAAATGCAACAAAATTGCTTCCGAAAAAAACGTGTATATTCCACATAGAGTGTAAAATGGTTGTGGCATTGAATGAGTTGGCGTTCGGTTTCATTTTTTTTATACAGATGATGGTGGTTGTGTGGGTTTCTTGTTCCTATTCATCGTTCCCAGCCTGTTCGTTTTGTGCACGTTCTTCGCCCCAATTGAAACCACCCGGTCGGTCTTCTGGAAGCGGTGTGTAGGTGCTATCTTCGGGAGCCTCATCGAACAGCTTCCGTCTGCAATGTCAATTTTGGAATATTTCGGTCATTAACAACATTCATATTCGATCAAGTGTGAGTTGAAAACACTTGGATATGATTAAATTTATATTGAAAATCGGTTTTTAATGTGCAAACAGTGAATCTTACAGAAATAGTGGCGTTTTTAGTATTCGAAAACCACCGCGTTGCTTTGGAAAGACATCTTCCAAAAAAAAATAAGCATGGCCCACCACGATTCCCATCAAATCGACCCTAAAATCGAAATTTGTATTAAAACATCTGTTGTGATTCAATGGCATCTTTGATTTGAACATTTCAATAGAACATAAATTACAACAAATTCTGAAGAAAAGGCACAATTCGCAGCAGAATCGCAGCAAAAGGAGTTCAACTCACCAAATAGTATTGCCAAGAATGACGGAGAAGCCAAGCAGTGCCCAGGGCAGATATGGAGCCAGGAAATTTAAAATGCCGAAAAAGTTCATGCGAATGAATGGGTTTCGTCGAGACCATACATATACCAACATAATCGTAAATGCTTGTCCCAAGAACAGTAAATTCACGAAAAAGGCGAAAATCTGCGCAAAAAAGATTGAGACAGTGAAATCAAACTGATTTTTTGTTTCAATTGATGTATTCAGTTATCAGGACTTACGATCATGAGTGCACCGCCAAATATGAACATCATAATAAAATCGGAGCTTTTACCGCGGAACGAACCCTCCTCCAGCATCCGACAGTAGCGATACGTGAACGTCATATTGAATAGGAAATTGAAACCTATCGTTCCGAAAAACAGGAACGTTGTGATGAGCCTCCATACTTGGTAGTGAAGTACAATGAGCGTTGGATTGAAGTAGAGTTGAAACGGTGACACAATATCTAAATGCTAGAAAATGCAACGAAATAAATGCAAAGACATTATTACCGTCGTTCGTTTGTATGTGTAAACAAAGAGCGTCTCTATTTTATCATTCGTTCAAATTCTATAGTGAACACACATTGATAACGTGAAGTTCAAAGCTGACGTGGATTTTTGTTGATTGCAATCAACTGAATTGCGCAAACATTATTCAATGAACACAGTGCAAATTTCCCATTGGATTTTTGCACATGTCACAAAATTGCATGCATTTGAATGAAAATCAGGACATTGCTGACCCGATTTTGGATTTCAACTTACGACTGCGATGGTTGTAATGACACAAGCTGTTGTATATATTCGGGTGACGATTGGAATTTGCATATACTCTGCTAGAAATGTTTGATAGGCCATTTTCCGTTTTGCTGCACTGCCAATGGAATCCCGTGCGAATGATTGAAATAAATAAAACTAAAAAGGAAATGAAATAAACTAAAATACACACACTTCACTTCGATTTGTTGCGTGTCAATTTTTCTTGAAATGTCTTTTTTGTTTGAGTTTTTTCTTCGCTCTGTCGTGGGTTTTTGATTACGATATCATCATTTTGACATTTCTACTTTTCTATTGACACACAAGAAAACTCATACACACGCAGTACACGATCGAGATGGATTTTTGACGTCTAGTCGTTTTGAGTGGCCGACTGGTTGTCGAATCGGTCACCAGTCGATGAGATGGCGCTAAAATACATCGCAAGCAAATGTACAAACCCATATCGACTGTATCCAACCGATTCAAGTTGGTAATTTTCCATTGAAATTCGAATATTCTAAGACAGTGTTCAGGTCGAATTCTATTTGAATATCGAATGTTTGTTCCTGCGAAATTTGAATTCAACACTACATTGGAATGCCAATTGTGTGTGGCTGTGTGTCGGAAAGTTGATTTTTACAATGAAAATGAGCTAGAATGATTATTTCCAAATATTCCACATTCGAAAAACGAAATTAAATCGTTAATCAAATGAAATTATTCTGATTATGATTTTTTCCATTCATTTGGTAGAAATAAGTATGATTTCCTGGAAAGGTACAATTTCCTCTTTCCACATGAACCTATTATAATCTGAAAATTGCGCCTAAATAGAGTCGGCTCTCTTTTTTTTTTATCACCGACACAAAATCGGGCTCAGTTTTTTTCTTAGAGAAAGAGAATAAAAAGGAGAATAGAGAATTTGTAGTAAAAATGTAGCCCGAACAGGATTTAGATGTATTATTATTGATGTGTAACCGAACCAAAAATTCTATATGTATACGGGAAAAAAAGTTTGTATCGAAATACGAAAATAAGCAAACATGTGTTATACAGTGTCGATGTGCGGAGTGCGCACAAAAGGAGACAAAACACAGCACAGGATATATGCAATATACGAAACATATAGCAGGCCTGGCCTGTGTGTTTGAAATGAACGATTTTTCTCTTCAAACAACGACGATCCAGTGAAACGAACGAATGAACGAAATGAAAGAAAAAATGTTCACTTTGTTCTATACCTAAGCACGAAGAGCTGCTATACCGAAGAAAAAAAACCATCCATTTCCATTTAGCAAAATAATAAACATTCCCTCTGAGTTGCTTTGGTTGCTTCGTTTTGATCCGTTTTCATGTTCGTATTCGCTTAACGACCGCTGTTGCTGTTTGCTGGTGCTGCTGCTGCATACTTATTTACTTGTGTATATTTTTATAGTTGGTGAAATTCTCCATGCCTTTGAGAACACACAGAGCAGCAGCAGCAGCACACACAGTGAGATCGAATGAATATGATATTCCGGCCGACAAAACAAAGTGAAACAGAGAAGAAATGAAGAGAAAAAAAAGTATGCTCTGTACGTTGTGTGTCGTGCACACAGCAGATGTCTTTTGTTCTCCGTAGTACATAGGGTGTTTGAGTGAGTGTGCGCGCATGTGTTTTACTACCACTAACAAAGGCTCATGAAATGCTATTTACTATTGAATTTCGTTTGGTTCTTTCCCTTTCCCACCGCGCTCTCCCTTTTGAATAGTTCTTTGCGACTGTTTGCCTGCCAGCAGAAGAGCCGAACATGTTTGTATTATATACAAACTGGCAGGCACTCACTGCTCACATACACCACTACACATGCAATGGATTACAGTGGCAGCTCCGTATGAAATATGAATATTTGCCCGTTTGCTTCGATGTATTGGTGGCGCGCTCAAATTTAGAATCAACGAGAATTGGTACGTTATTCAATGTGACTATTGAGCTCGGTACAGTTGAGTTTTGTATGGAGAGAGTGTAGTTCGTATTTGTGAGCCCTCTATACGAATCCATTTCGGCTAGCACACTGAATATAACACACAATTGAATCGTACCACAACGACGAGAACGAAACAAAAAAAATATATTACATACATCCAGAATTGAAAACCACTTAGTTAGCTGCAAATTTGAACATAACACGAAGAAATTTTTTTTATCCAATTTTCACCACGTCGATTCATTTTGTATCTACAATCTTTTGATAGAACAAATACATTTTAATTTTTTTTTCTACACAAACTACACCGCATTCTAACAATCAACCGTTCGAATCGAATATTTCGTCCATACTAAATATTAATAACCGAAATTTTTCGCGGGAAAAACCAACAACACTATATAAACAATATCATCAAAACACTAACAGAACAGAGAAAAAAAGAAACGACAACAACAAATTGAATACTACAAAACCAAGTGAAACAGTGAAAAAGCAACCAATTTGAATCATGTTTGAATTTGAAGATAATTTAAGTACCGGTTTTCATGATGTGTTTCTCTCCAAGTATAGTGTAAGTAGATTAATCATTTCGTTTCCCACACACACCCACAATTGCAAAATTGTTTATTTTAGATACGATAACAATTCAACAAACGTAAAATGAAAACAACATAATATGATACAAATAGCAAAAATGAAATATCTCACTGTTCACATTTTTTTTACTATATTCATTAACATCGACCATCCAATGACAAGAAAATAAAATTTGAATTCGAGATTTTCTCTTTTTGTTTTGGAAAATAAAATTGATGGAACGACGGAAAAAGTATACCGTGTGTATACAAAAGTCATTTAAAAAATAAAATCAACAAAGATCCAATTACTTTTTCATACTGAAACCGTGTGCAAAAATGTAATGCAATAGACAAAAATGGTTCAACTTAACGAAATTAAGTGTGATGATAGACATAATTGTCGTGTTTTATTTTGAAGTTTGAAACTCTCGCTTATTTTGACGTTGACATTTCATTTTTTCGGAAAAGAATTTTACGCGCGAAATCTGTCCATTTCTTACATTTCATCCTACTATGTTCTGTTTTATTTTTTTTTATCGTGTTCATGTGAATGTTGTGTGTTATCATTTGACAAAGATTATGCAATGTCAGTCAGTTTGTTGTGAACGTTACACCAGGCAGTCGAAGTTTCTTCATTTCTTTTAGTTTCTGTAAGAAGAAAAAGAGTAGTTGAAGGAAGCAGTACGCACATTTGAGTGAAACGTATTGCCGGCCGGATATTTTTTTTCTCCACTCTTCACTCAGTTAGATGTCTGTTATACTAGTTGGCCTTGGATTTATGCGCAAACGATTTTTTTTTCTCCTCCTCGCGTGATTTCCCCACAGCTGTGTGTGTGTGTGTGTAGATTTTTAGCGATGCACGAAAACCGACAGGCCTATGAATTTTCCCTTTTATTTGCGCGCTATTTCAAATCTCGTCGGTGTGATTTAGAACAAAAATATTCGTTTTCGATTCGAATCACTCTCAAACAGAGCGTGAGAGCAAGAGAAATGAGAATTTGAATTGGTTTGTGTGTTTCTTTGATCTGCGTGATCAAAACAATTCGATTTGTTGAAACCAATGAAAAAAGGGCAAATAAATTAGATCATATTTTTTTCATATTCAGTTGCTCATTTGAAATATTTGCTGTGACTACGCGGTCGACAAAAAAAATCGTAATGACATTTTGGACAGTTCAAAAGCCTCATTCCATTGATTAAATTTTTTTTGCTTCGTTGTTGTTACTGTATTGTACTCAAACATACAATGAACGTTTCGAAAGGCTTATTATACAAATATATTCCGTTAGTGACTGTGATTGTTAATGTTTACTCTTACACGAGAGAGAGAGAGAGAGAAAAAAACAACAGAGAAAATCAGCAAACAAAAATGCCAAACAGTCACATTGCTGGCAAAACCGACCGCTCAATTTATGATTCCGATTAAACAGAACCGTTGTATTCTGTTCGCGCTCTTATTAATCTTATAAACATGGGTAATTTGATAACCGGCCAATATTAAATGTCGTCATTCTCATCAGATTCCTCTCTGGAGAGACACATTTTAAGCGTAAAAATCGCCTCCTTTCGTGCAAACATCGCCTTGGTGTGGTGCATGGAAAAACACAGCAAATAAATAAAAGATACAGAGAGATAAAACTCTTTCGTGGCCAATTCCTAATGGATTCCGCCCATCACGACAGGCGAAGAAAAAAAAAACATCAACGAAGATGAGAAAAGAGTTTATTTTCTGTTGCCAAGAAATGTGATTTCTTTTCAGCGAACGAACCTCTTTAAATAGCAATTCGTTAAGGTAAATGCTGTTCATTGTGTCGCCATTATGTAATTTTTGGATCTTTGTGTAATTGAAGTTATAATGAGAATGAATAAATGAACACACGCACACAGCATGAGCGCTGGCGCATTCAATTCTTTGTTGTTTTCTTCGTGCACTCATATTATGTTATTATAAGACATTTCACATTTTTTGACTCGCCAAAATAATAACAACGTCTGAATTCGACGAATATTTGAAAAATATTTGTTTGACATATTGAAATACACAGAAATCAGTCATACTCAGAAAAATATCATCAGCATTTTCATTTGATATTACTTTTTTTTTGCGGAACATGAGCAACTTATTTGTTGTAGAACCTTTTCATTCAACAACCGAAGAAAAAAACCGATCGGAAAACGGGACTCAGACAGTAACATTACATCACCGAAAAACCTCAAGTTGCATTAAACGAAAATATTATTTGCTGAACAGTTTTTGGCTCAATTGAATGATTGAACTTGCAGCTGCATTAAATCGACCAAGTATAATCTTCAACTCTTCGAATTCGGTATATAGCACGAGAAATCGACGGATAGGGCCCACCTTTTGATTTGCTTGCGCTTTCTATTGCCATAATGCCATTACATCGACAGCTGTGTGCTAATGCAATACTTACCTTTCTTGTGTTCGGCCTGAATTGATTTCTATTCAATAACAAATACCCTTACTTTTTAAAGGGAATCTCAACCTTTCAACCATTTTAAAGAGATTCTTCGTTTGCTCTCTCTCTCTCAACGAAAAATTCAATAGGTTTTTTTCCCGTTTGGTTTCCATATCATTTCACACTTTCAACACGAAATTTACGAAATAATTTTGGTGTTTCGCTTAGGTATAGCATTTTGCTTAATTGTTTCCATGTTAATGTTCCGCAGAGTTCAATAACATCACGCATATTTCTCGTTTTTTTATAACCATAATTCTGTTGTTGTTTTAACATCCATTCCCTCGTGTGAGTTTTGTGTTGTTCTAAACTTAATCCATATGGAGAATATTCTTTTTACTTTGTTTTTTCGTTCGTTTCGTTTCCTTTTTGAACGTGTCATAGATGTTTGGCTCACGTAAATACAACGTGTACGCCGACAAGAAAATAAACAAGAGAACACAACAGAGAGCGGCGCGTAGAACGAAAGAGCTGTACGCGTGCGACTGAGTGCTATGGTGTGTGCGTAAACGTTGGTGATAACAACAAAAATGACTAAAATTAGAAATAAATGAATATTTACTAAAAATTAAAGAAGAAACAAAAAACGCACCACCAACATATTCCCATCATAAAATGTCGGTGAATTTATTTATTTAATTCAGTCGGTGGAATTTGAGAAAAAAAAGCCCGTAATTAAGAGTTGAAATGACAAATCAATCGATCCATGGGAAAAAAGTGAATAAAACACGATATGTGCGCTGTAATTGAACATTACACAGGCCCCGCTTGCCTCATTCCTCACTTCCGATGGAATGCTCACCTCATTTGACTGATTGAATATTGATAATAAATAATATCAACTCGTATGATAAATTCCCATTTTGCTCCCCTCCCCGTTTTGATTAATAACTCTCACGGCATGGAAATGTACACGCAAACCCATACACACACATAACCATACTAATCAATATGCGAAGTGTAATAAAAGCGGTATATCTGTACATCCTGGCTCAAAATCTTATTTGAACGAGCATGGGCGCGCCCGCGCGCGCAAACGTTGTGTTTATCAGGCTCGAGTGAAATCTGATAAAATATGTTAAGAAATAACTGGCGGCAATCATTGAATCACCCGCACGTTTCGACCCATGATTAGACCGGATTACCGGACGAAAAGCCGAATCGAAGAAATCGTTTTGAAGTTAGTCTCACCTTCAAGCCATAGACAAATTAATTTGTTGATCAGAAATTTCTCTAATCGATTTTCATTTCTTCGTTCAATAATTCAACGAATTCAATGGAATTTCAGTGTAAATACTTATTGTATCTGATATTTTGAAAGCAATTGAGCAACAAAAAGAGAATCGTGCGAACGATGCGAATAACAATGTTGAATGAAAAATTGAGAGATGCGTGTGTATTTGTTTGTTAAATGAAAAAAATAACAATAAATAAAGTGCCCACGAAAATAGTGAGAAAGCGCTCATTTAAAAATCATATAATACGAACGATTCTGTTCCAGTTGGATGTTCCAATCGTAGACACCATGGTTGAACAATGTATTTGAATACATAGCTGTCAAAATATGTACACGGTTCATGCGACGATGACAACGACAACGACGAATGCTACGCAGTGAAAATGTTCGTCACATGCCCTAGGTCAATAATCTATTAATACAAATAAAGACAACATGAACGCACCACGGTATTCAGTAAAAATGAACAAGAACGATGAACAGAAAAAAAAGACTCACACACATATTTATTTATTGTTTTCTTTGCTGTGCGATGTGTAAATTGGTTTTTTTTTCGTGTTGTCGGTTTCGTTAGCGTTTATCTTTTTGAATTGAAACGGCTGATGGAGGAGGAAGAGAGAAAGAAACTCACATACGAATCAAAATAGCGAGATAAAATGCCAAACAAAGTTGTGGCGGTGAGATGAACGGGTTAAGAGAGTAAATAATATGAGCCAGCGTATCGGCAACGATTTTTTTTCTTCTTTTGTTCGTTTAAGTCCATTTAAATGTAAATATCTGATATTTAATATCATAATATCGAAATCTTTCATCAGAACCACATCATGTGCGCGCGAAATATACTGCGAAAACATTGTGCGAACGAGACAAATAACAGAAAAACGAGAATCAAAACCAGCGCTGCTCAGGCAAAGAAAAAGGAATCAACATAAAGAATTTTTGAGAAAAAAACCTCATAAAAAATGGGAGAAGCAACGAACATTATGCGCCGCGCGCGATAAAAAGCCAGAGTGGCAAAGTTCTCGGTATGTTCTTAAAACTGAAGAGACCGAATGGCGAACAGAAGAAAAAATAAATACAAAAAGCGGATGTTTAATGTTCGACAAGAGAGTCAAGAATGTATGAAAGAGCACGGTGTATAAGAGTGTGTTCGGCACTCACTCAAACATCATTTTATGTAGCTATGAGAGCACGTCGTCGCGTATAATATCGGCAGTCAGCCGTAGAAAGAGAGATAGTGCAGCTCAATTTGGCGATTATCAAAAATTATTATGAT